AGCTGGACTTAATGGGCCTCGCTACGTGTGAGGAGTCAGCGGGTGTGACTGCGATGGAGTCCGCTGAGACTGCTCCGAACAGGGCGGTGGATTTTATGGCCGACTGAAATACTTCATGACCTTACACGTTGGCAACCAAATGCAGAAAAGTCGCAGTCTTCCAATACAAACTGGCTCTGTCACAATAACCCCCTTTGCTGCGCCGTGTCTCCCGGTTTGTGAACATTAAGGTTATCAAAAAAGGAAAAGCAAGTGCAACCAGGCATCCTAAATGAACTCCCTAAATGTTTTTTTTTTCTTCATGAGATAGTTTTCTGATGTCATTTGTGCTGTAATGGAGCTGCGGCCTGCTGTGTTGTGGGCTTTTTTCAGTTGACTACATCAGCCTTGTTTGAGCTAATGAATCTTAGATGACTTGGTGCTCCCCACTTTCATTAAAAAAGGAAGCCACTGCAAGTGTATTGGTCTGGAAAAACAAAGAAAATGTTGTAAAAAAAGAGTTTTGTTGTTATACTGCAGATATTGCTGCTTTAAAATCATTTACACATAAAAAAATAATAATAATAAATTGAACATGTGTTGTGCTTGTACATTGAAATCATACTGCTCTAAAAACAAGACTGGAATGGTATATACTACTTGACATTTGGCACAATCCTGAACTGCCATGTTGTCAGGTATCATCTTGACCCACATGCAGAATTACATGCAGGACGCAGAATGAAAAGTAACTAATGGATCTATTGAGAATAAATACAAAATATGTACAGTGCCAGTGGGTTCTGGTCTCACGGTTCTGTGGTGTCTGGAGAAGAGAGATGTTTAGTACAAGGTGAATTTTGGACAGTAGAAAACTGAGGCGGCTGAAGGCTCCCTTATCCTCGGCAAACTGTGGGTATTGTGTGAGCAGCACAGAACGCGTCCACAAACCATTCCTGGACAGTTGAGGTTTCATAATGAAGCGTTCCGATCGTACATTTATTGTGACAAATTCCTTCGTTTCCCACAAACCCGAATGGATGCCAGGAGGTTTAGTTGGGTGTTTTTCATCCGGCGGAGCAGTCACGATACACGTTAGTGTGTTCTTAGTACTAAACTTATCAGTGTACGCAAAGCAGTTTGGTGTGATTTCTGTTTCCTGCTGAGAAGTTTACTCTGAGACAGAGTGAACCATCATCATAAAACTGCCACAAAATGAAATCATAAAATATTTTTGCTCTGTAGTTAATCTCTATGAAATGACAAGTTCACTCTCTGAGATGAGTGGCAAGAAATATTGCACTTCGACGCAATATTATTATTTTTTGGTCGTATCCCAACAGATTGGACACAGCTTCGTTTTGCCCGTCAGTTTTCAAAGTAAAAGCGTGACGACCTGCTTTGCTTCATGGGTTGTTGTACAGCGACAGCAACATCTGATCGATTATTATCAGCTCCTTATAGTTCCAGCAAGTAATCAGCTGATCACCAACAGGTGTGGCAGCCCAACACCTGCAACTGAGGCTGTATTGAGTGAGACTCTGACCTCTTGACCCACATGCAGAATTACATACATGCAGAAAAGTAAGAAATAGAATTATTGACAGTAAATGAAGGATATTTATTGTACTTGCACTTGTGTTTTATATCTTTATCTAAAATGTGACAAAACAAATATACTTGAAAAGCATATTAATGAAAGTGGTTCTCAAAAAATAAAGAATTGTAATTGCTAAGCTATATTATTGTATTTTCAATGAATCCTAAAAGTAAATTCGAGAATAAAGGGATCCACCTTGATTAGAAAATGTCAACTATTCATCCCAAACAATGCAATACTGCCATCTAGTGTAACAGGACAGTAGGACAGGTTCTTATGAGTCAGCATGAGTGTATTTATAAAATAAATAGCATGTTGTCATATTGGGAAGATTTATTAAACGCCACTTCAAGCAGGTTTTTGTCTTCTAGTAAGCTTTTCAATCAAGGTCATGAAATGCAAAAAGTGAAAAATACAACAACAAAATTAAATATTCACCTCAAAGAGGTTTTCAGTCCCAAGTTTTTCTACAACATATTAGCACAGTGGATAAAATCATTGCTTATCTTCTACTCCACCTTTCGCTTATTTACGCTACATGAGCTGAAGGTTTTTATGTGAGGGGCCAAATGCACACGACACTTCGCAGATGTTTCCTTGCAAACCAATTTAAAAACCATACATCATGCACCGTCCGCTCGACAATCGGCGCTGGCTTGTTTTGGCTTAAGATCTTGATAAAATGCTTGTAAGCAGAAAATGGGTGTAAAAAATTCAGGAGATATGAAGAAACATTTTTGCAAGACACTGCATCTAAAACATATGACAAAAACTGCAGAAGATAAATCTGACGCGTCTCTGTCAATGCCCTGATATTCTGCTTCTCCCAGCTTTTTTTTTATTTTATTTTTTTAATAGTTTTAATGTAAAACATTAAACCTTAAAGAATCAACTTGGCTTTCAAAGCCTACGTTTCCACACTCAACTTATTGCTGTGGTTGCTGTGAGGTTGCAGCGTTACTTACAGATTCAATGTCCATTTATTCTTGGTAATAAAATAATAATAATAAAAAAATCTATCTGTGAGAGGCCTGGCCGCCTCCACGGCTGCTGATAAGGCAGAGTTGTTCTTTGGCTCATTGCAATGAGCTGGACCGAGACTCGGGATGAAGAAATGACTCGCTTATCATTCACACTGATCGTTCAATCAGAGATTGTCACTTGGCAGATTTACCCATAAACAAAAGAATTAAGGGTTACATGGCAGTTTTATGCAATTGCACAAGAGCAACAAACAGCAGATTTCCCCCGGTTTGGACAGTTTGACGGCGCTCTAAACCAGAGCAATTAGGAATGAATGCAGCAGGAAGATGAGCTCATTTTCCCCACATGGGAAACATTTGCAAAGGTTTCCACAAACCACTCGGCTAAAGTGGAAAGCAAGCACTCGGCTAAAGTGGAAAGCAAGCAGGACAGTTTGCTTAGCAGAGACATTTTCCTTTAAAAATGACATAATTCTTAAAATAAGACGATGAGCTCAAAAGCCCTAAGATTAAACAGAGAAATATCAAATGAAATAAATAGCTCATACTCTAAAAAAGACCCCGTCTTGTGTTTTCTTCAGGTGAATTACTCTTATGATTAATGTTGCCTGAGTATTTTTGACCTGATTAAGCTCCGGTCAAACACGTGGCACAGCCTCACTCACGTCTGCTGGGTAATAGCTCCTCCATTTTCACCAGCGTGCTCTCACTAACTCTAATATGTCATTAAAACTGTAGATCAATTTATTTCAAGATGGCAGAGGACGACAGCTTCTAATTGCAACACCTGTACAATTTTCTGCATGGATTCTTTAATCGACTGGGATCAGAATCAGCGTAAAGAGGAGCTACATTGAGCCAGTAAATGCTCTCGGTGAGACATGTTTAAATAGTCGTCACGGTGCGAGTCCCTACAAAAGTCTGATCTTGTTCTTCATTCCCTGAAGACATCGTGGCTGCAGGCGCCGCGTCCCCTGGAATACAGTTCTGCATGGAAATGTTTCATTGGCATCAAGTTGTTGTCAATTAATAGATTAGTTTTGTTTTTGTTTTTTTTCACATTTAATCAAAGTAAAACTGCAGCTTTTAATGGGAATTTATTTGACCATGGAGAGGGAATGAAAATGCCAAGTACAAAGGAGTCTTCGTTACAAGTGGAAATCCCCAAATTCTCTTACTCCCCTCCACTCCGACACCCTGAAATTAAGTCCATTGAAGGCAACAATTTACCTTCTGATGTTTGTCATTCAAACAGATTTGAGCCAGATCGTTGCTAACGGTCTATAGATAACACTATTTTTCCACTAATGTTGAAAAAACGCAACATCACAATTGTGGCGTTTCCACTAAATAAGAGGTTCAATTAAAATGACAGTGAGTTAGTTCACACAATAAATCCTCCTCCTGCCACTTCCTGCCTCCTTCTTCGTAGTTTCCACCAGTGACAACAGCCAGCTGTTGATCCCACATATGGTGTGAAGTAAAAAAAAAAAAAAAAAAAAGTTTCAATTTTTGTCAGAAAAACATTTTTTTTTTTTAATTGCTGTGTTTCCATTTAGTAAATACATTTTGGTGACGTCAAGCTTCGCATTAATATGGTGAGTGGAAATGGCAGCCAGTGTAACAGCAACGTCGTTGCTCAGAACTCAAAGAACAAAACCAATTCCTGGAGCGGCTTGAAGCAGCCCTTTTAAAACATTCTCCCCCAAATCTGAATATTTTCTGACGCACCATTCAGTTCATCATCTGAAAATGGAAACAGTGGGGATGTGAGCGTCCACCTCCACTGACAGAGGAGCGTTATCCAGAGACTCAGCTGAGACACTCATGGAAGAATCGGAGTTAGAAGTCACATTTCTTACATGTCGGTTGATTTAATATTCTCTCTCTTGGATAAATATAAGAACTGTTAACAGAATTTCAATCTGATTGTTTAAGTGTTTGCAGGTTTTGCGCACATTTAAACCTGAAGCCCATGAACCAGAACACGCTTATCTCAGAAGATGTGGAAACACTGATGACCGTTCCCACGCGTTGACCTTGCTGTTGCCCCTCACCGCTCCTGAAACTTGGCTCCTGAAACTGTGTTGTGGATATTTTAGCTCTTGTCACTTGTTAGTGTTGCAGCTCCTGCCATGCTATAAATAACGGCCGTCACAGGGAGGGATGGGAGTCAGCAGAGAGCGCAGACAGCAGAGGGCATGGTGGCCTTGCCTCACCAGGATGCAGGAATTAAATCTGCTCATTCTGACACTTTGATGCATATCTTGTGTACTGGATCACAAGGCAGCTGATTCATTTTCTGTGTGGAAAGTTTTATAAAGTCAGACCTTATTGTATTTATTTATTTATTTTTCTGTTTGAGTGCTTCAATATTTTACAAAACTGTAAGCTTTCTGCAGATCAGCGATTAGGTCTGGACTTTGAGGACCGGGCCAGTCCATTGGCTGCATGTTTGGGGTCGCCGTTCTTCATTTTGCTAGTATTTAGCCCTACACATTCACTAAATACTGAAACAAAGCTGGAAGCTAATTATCCGTCCTTGGATTGAAAAATGCGCCCTCATGCAGTCGTGTCTTTTTACAGCAGCTGATGTTCAATATGGGCAAAGCTTCATTCTGCCACTTTAATTCGTCATTGTGACAGTTTACTAAGTGCTATCCTTCAACCCCATCAGCACCCAAGATAGAGAGGAAAATCAATAATCCAACATGTTTATGCTCTTATTTAAATTCACATCTCAACACAAGAGAGATTATCTGCTTGGCACCGCTTCATTATCGAGCAAAGAAATAAAACCGACTTCCTGCAATTAGAAACGCCATGGAAACGTCCTTGCATAGCGCCTGATGAGCCGCTACTGCAGCATATCAGTTCAGGTATATTGTCTTGCTGCTACAGAGCAACATTGCATTTTTTAATGTTTGATGGCATGACAATCTCTCTGATGTCCCGTAAATGTTAGAATCCATCATGTCAACAGCACATTTAGAAATTAGCTATGAAGCCAGAAAGCTATTTTAGTTTGTTTTAGGAACATTTAAAATAAAAAGAAATTGAAATATTTATAAGGCCTACATGTATGGGTTCTGTATGAGGAGCTGAATGTACAGAAGTGCTACAAAATGCTTTTTATTTGCATGAAATGCTGTGCTATGCAGACTCTCTGTCTGCACTCATGAAAATTCACTTACCATGTCTTAATGCTTGGAGTGTCTGAAATAACAGGCAGCTGGATTTGTCTGCAGATTATTTAGTCTCATAGTGATTTTGTAAGCCCTCGTACACTATGTTTAGAGGATGACCTTTGACCCCCAGATGGTCTGGCAATGACAAATATAATTTATATTCAATACAGGACTTGTAGTTTCACAAAATATGCTTTCGCCGTACTAATCTATGTACACCATGTTCCAAATTATTATATTTTCTCAAGTTTTCTTAAAAGGTCAATGCAAATGATGGTCAGTATCATTTTCAATTCATGAACTATTACAGTATACATCAAATTTTACTGAACAAAGCGCCCCATGAAACTAAAAAGCTAAAAAACTCAAAATGCTCTGTTCCAAATGATATGCACAGCAGATTTTCTTAACATGTCATGAATTATAAAGAACTGCAAATGGTCATTTTTTAAATGTGCAGCATTAAATGGTCACATATACTAAGATCAAAATGTTTATGATTGAAACAGCTTTTAACAGACAGAGTTACATGTTAACATAGGAGCCCTTCTTTGATGTCACCTGCACGATTCTTGCATCCATTGAACTTGTGAGTTTCTGGAAAGTTTCTGCTTGAATTTCTTTGCAGGATGTCAGAAAACTTCCCAGAGCTGCTGTTTGATGTGAACTGCATAAAATAAAATAATCTAAAAGACATCAAATTCCTGATGACCCTGGGATAATCTGCATTTGAACACTAAATAAATCATTTGCTTTTTGTGCATTCTGTCAGGTTTGGGTCAAGACTCTTGATTATTTGTTCGTCTCCTCAACACGCCGAGGACGATCACAAACAACGTTGGAGTCGCAACCACAGCCACAGCAATGGAGACCTGGAAAAATAAATAGCATCTACATAATCAATACGTACAGTTACAATTAACCAAATCAGTCTTCAAATGTACTTCTGCGTTTGATATTTTCATTTTAAAACGCAGCTCGGTAGCTTGCTGTAAACGGATTGAGTTTCATGACGTTAGAAGATTAAACAAACCTCAACGACTGCAGCAATGTGGCGCTTTCCAAAAGATGGCAGAAACACTTTGAGCAGAGCAAGGCTGCAGGGTAAGTAGGAATCTGCGTTGTCTGAGTCTCTGCATCTGAAAGGAGAAAAATAATGCACTTTCATAATAACTTAAACACGACAAATAGATGTTTATTAGCCTTTGCTAACCTTTTGTACAATGTACTGAGAAGCAAATTCTTGTCTGCCAGGTACAGCTCAGACAGGCCCAGCTCAATCAGTACGGGAAGCGGCAGCCTGTAGCCGTCCTCAGCAAGCAAGCCAAGGTTGTACCAACCCTTAAAAGAGATTAAACGTACAACTTAAACAGAAATATTCACAACTTTAATTGTAACAAAGAGAAAAAGAAAAAAAATCAACAATCAAAAACAAAACCTGTGGGTTGTTCCTTAAAGCCGCCAGTGAATACATGTGTGCAGCAGAGGAGAAGTCCTTCTCCCTGCTGTCTGACCCTTCATACAACAGGTCACCCATCCTTATGAAGGCTGGAGGAGGAACAGGAATGCAGGTCAGTGACAGAAAATGGCCTAGAAACCATTGAACATAAAGGTGGTGACGCACCATAAGACTCTGGTTTCTGACTCTGGATTGTGAGATTGTAATATCGCCACATGCAGCGTGTAGCATAAGCGGGATCCAGGAAACTAGCCTAGAACAGAAAACGCCTTCGATCGTCACTCGATTTTAAAATCTACATTACACACATAAGAGACACAACTCACCGCATTTTGGTCACAAAGGTAGGCCACATTGAACTGTGCAGGAGAATACCCCGATTCAGCTGCCATGATATAAAACACCAACGATATGAACCTGTTTGATAAACAAAGTGTCACTTTGGTTTGACTACACGTTTGCTGTCGTATGGAGTTTGACAAGAGGAGAACGTACATGTTGCTCTTCAGGTAGGAGTCCAGCGCTTTGCGTAGGACGCTGCCCAAGTAGCCGTTCTGCTCAGCTGTCCACTTCACCCAGCTGCAGGTTGACGGAGAACATGTCCAAACATGAACAGTGAGGTCAGAGGTTTACATACTGTTATCGCTGGCAAGACATTTGGGCTTTCAATGATTCAATTTAATTGAGTTTATTCATAAAGCCCCGATTTATAACAATGTGTCTCAAAAAAAAAAAAAAAATCCAATCTAATCGTTCCGATAGATTGCAGGTCAATTTTTAATACTGCATTTCAACTGTTCATTTGTTAGAAATGTTAACATAAATTAGTAGTTTATGTATCAAAATCAATATTCAAGCAGCAGTAAACAACATGTTTTTTACAGGCTGTCGTAACAAAAACAGAGCTTTCTCCCTGTGGCTCTACTGCCACCCGCAGTAATACACTGCTCCCGGTTACAAACTACAAGTCACAGCCAGGAAGAAGGTCTTAGTGCTGTCAATCACCTCATGTATGTGCTTCTCACACCCTTTGCATCGCTCCATGTTATGCTACAGTCAGCGTAACAGGAAGCTATCTGTTCCTGTCATGACTGCTGAAGCTAGTTAGCATACGTGATGGTGGATAAACAGTTTTTGGTAGGTTGTTTTCTACCATTGGAACTTTGAGCAGCACTTACACAGGAGTGATTGACAGTGCTAAGACCCTCCTCCTGGATCTGATTGGTTGTTTTTGGATGTAGAAGAATCTCTCCCACCCGGGAAGTTTTGAGAATTTTTATGATGCTTAAATGTCCAAATCTATTAGTTGTTATGTTCATGGTGCTTTGTATATGAAGGTTTCAGTCGAGGTGTGCATGAAAGTGTGATTAAAAAAAGCGGAAGTAGCTCACGAAACGGCATCTGATGGACGTCTCTCGACGTATCCAGGAATCCCCGTGGCCCAGACATCAGCTAGGAAAACTGCTGCGCGCAAGTGTCCTCGTTCTGCAGACTTCAGGTAGTACTTGTACGCCACATGCTGATGGACACACAAATTATTCCCCGCTGAACAATCTGAAGCTTTTATACTAGAGTACAAGGAATGTATGCCTTTGCACGTTTGCGAACCTGGTCTGCAGGTTTTCCTGGATACAGGCCCTGTGAGTACAAGATGCCGAGGTTCAATGGGGCGTCTGGAGAACCGAGGAGATCAGCCTTTTCCCACAGAGCCACAGCCTGCTGGTAATCCTTCTCAAACTGCTCATAGTACCAGGCCAGGGCGTTGACTGCAGGAACAAAACCCTGAAGGAAGCATTGTAAAATAAAACATGGTGAGTGTGAACACTGAATAGATTTCTAGCAACGAAGTTAACATGTTAATCACTACATTGGCATTAGAAATGGGTGATTAAAACATAATTATGTAAAACCTGCTCCATTGCTTTCTTGAGGAATGTGACACCTTTTGGAACATCCTTCTCAACTCCTTGACCCTACAAAGAAAAACCATCTGCTATAAGAAGATCACTATACTTTAAAACGAAAAAAGCCAGCATTTTAATGAAAATGGATTTAAATCTTACCAGCAGTAGTACTATTGCATAGTCATACATAGACACTGGGTCCTCCAGCTGAACAGCTCCTCTTCTGTAATGCTTCACAGCTTCTTGAATGTTTGGAGACAATCCTTGCTGACCCCAGAAGAGCATCCGGGCAAGAGCTTGCTGCAGGACAACAGTTACTTTTTAAATGTTCAACTCCACCGGCTGCATTTCTTTCTACCTACAACAGCCCTGGTGTAACTTTAGGTTATTTCTGAAGCATGACAGAAATCTCACACATGCAGCTCGATGAATAAAAGATTCAGCAGCAGAAAGAAGAAAGTGAGGAATCTGGTGCAACAGATGGTGGTGGGCACAGTCCACCCCTGATCTCAAGATCAAAGCCTCACAGATCACTTAAATCCTCACAAAAATCCAAATTAACTCCCTCTGATGCCTAAAAGAACAGGGCCAGATGAAGCCGTGTACCTCTGCGTCAGCTGCCCCTCTGCGGGCCTGAAGCTTCAGCCACTGAAAGATGTGATGGTCCTCATTGGTCTGACGGTTCAAAGCCTCGTCGTCGTTCAGATATACAGCCTCCACAAACGTCTCAAAAGGAAATGAAAAGCAGAAGACATGTTAAGGTGAAACACTTTGATTTTCTTTTCAACAGTTTCTTCCACAAAACGCTGCGCTGGGGTTATGAATTAAACATGAAGAACTGTTCCAAACACCCTCTTTATCAAACAGTAATCTCTCCTATATTACAGAGCATGGAGTGCAGAAATCATATTGATGACTTTAAACTGGATGCTGATCCCTCAGTGAAATGACATTTTTAGAAGCACCTTCTGCTTCAGCTCACATTTCAGAAAAATGAGACCAGAACTCTGCAAAGTGTTGACGCCACTTGGACTTCTCCATGCTTTCAGCCACAATAGAATGGCAAACTTCATTCTAGAAAAAAATTATCTGCTCTTTTAAAAATACTTTACAAGTACAAAACTAAAAAGTGTGACATTCAATTCCTTTTGCCCTGATACCCCTTGAATATAATTCAATGCCACTATGGCAGGGGTGGGCGCTCCTGGTCCTCGAGGGCCGGTGTCCTGCAACTCTTGGATGTCTCCCTGGTCCAACACACTTGAATCCAATAGCTGAATCACCTCCTCAATGCAGTCAAGTTCTCCAGAGTCCTGCTAATGACCTCATTATTTGACTCAGATGTGTTGAAGTAGAGATATGTCTAAAAGTTCAGGAGACCGGCCCTCGAGGCCTGGAGTTGCCACCCCTTCCACAATGGCTTGACAATATAATAAGACAGATAATGTGAAGGTGAGGAAAAAAAAAAAAAACAGACAAAAATATTGAGCTCCCCCTGGTGGTCCCTATGCTGCTCTGCAGGGATACACCACTGGTCAGAAACAATCAACGAGAGCCAGGAGGAGGGGCTTAGCACTGTCCAGTCAGAGCTCAAACAATTCAGCAAGGAACATTTAACTCAGTCTTCATTTCACTGGTGATCTTGTATAGGGGCAGTTGCCCAGAGTGGCATTAGAAAGGGGCGGGTTGCCCAACAAATATGAAATTCAGTATCTTATCTGTCAGTTTCCCCCTGATAAATAAGATATGATACAGAATATCATATCTTATTTTTTTTGCAGTTTTTGAATCTCTTCCAGCTGGGATATGACTTCAGTCTGACATGCAGTCCTTTGCTCTCTTTTCTCATTGAAATCAAAAGTTTTACTCTGCAGTTCTTTTTTTCAGATTGTCTACCTGGCTAGCGAGATCATTGATGTGTTGGCTAGTCTCTTCACTACAACCTTTCTTGTAGGACAAGGGATGAGAATACTCATCAGTTGTTTCCTGCTTGACTTCCAATAATTTTGGACTTTCCAAGTCGCCGGAAGGACTTGGTTCCCCCTTGATCTCTGTTGCTTCATCTTCTGGCTCAATGGGGCTGTCATCGTCATCTTCAAAACAAAGGACAGCGTCGTAGTCGACTTGGATGTTGAGCTCCATCATCCCAATCCATAAAAGCACAGCCAGAAAAGCTTCGTGTTCATAAGTAATCATTTGTTGCTTCATGTCTATATTCTGGTAAGTTCTTGCTTCTCTGAAAGGCGTGTAATATCTGGAATCGATATCCTGCTAGTTTCGATTAAATTCAAGCGTGCTCTGAAGAGTGATCTTTCGTGATAGAACTGTGGAACAGGTCTGAGAAAACACTGACTGTGTGCTACAATCAAGAGAGAGATTCCTTTGTGGTATCACAGTGATGTCATAACTACTGATGTCATTGAGACCATTGGAATTGATCATGTCAATTCAACCTGCTGTTTGAAAAATGCCACACAGTAGAACTAATGATGTAGATAGAGGAGAATGATCCGGACTGTGCAGCTAAAAACAATGAATAAGACCTGGAGGAGGTGACCAATCCTGGGCTTTGAATTGGCAACATGTTGAAGATTGACGGCTCACAGGTGAGCCAGAAGCCAGAACTGCTGACAGCACAGTAAACAGAGATCATTCAAATGGTAAAGGAGCAAATATTGGAATGGAAATCTACTTGCACACAGACTGGAAAATGCTAACTGCAGTGCTAACTGCTAAGAGAATTTAAAACATTTACATTTACAGATCTTTATATTTTTTATGGGCATACATCTGCCAAGATAAGAGGGACAAATAATAAAATTGGATAAAATTAGACTTAAACACCTAGTTATAGATTATTTATTATTATTCCGTCTGCCGGATGTGGCTCGTACCGCTGCGTGCCCAACCTTTTACTTTAAATAAGGTATTAAGCTATTTCTTTTACTTATTAGCCATGTTTAGTATACTGAATGGAGTAAGTTAATTACAGACAATATGCTAGTGATGCGCCATATGCTACTGACAATATTCACGCGAACATTAGCATTTTGACTAATTTTGGCTTATACACTACTTTTAGCATCCTGAATGGTGCAAGTCCATGTTAGTGAACATTCTTGTGATTCTCCACATGATACTTTGTAATTTTTTTGCCAAGCTGAGCTTTGATGCTAATTTTTAGTATCAGAACCCTGGGTCCAAACCGAAGGGCACACTTTGGCAGGCCACGGTTAAATTTCTTCAGGAATTTTCTAGTTTAATCTAAAAACTTTTGTAATATATAAGTGGTGCCCAAAGTTGGTCCTCGAGGGCTGGGATCCTGCATGTTTTAGTTCCCTCCCTGGTGGTAGTAGCAAGCTTTTCAACATGTTGATGTTCTTCCTAGGCCTCCTAATGAGCCATTATTTGATCCAGTTGCGTTAGAACTAAAACATGCAGGATATCGGCCCTTGAGAGCCGACTTCAGACACCACTGCACAGTCTAGAAGAACAGAGATGAACAGTTTCTACTTTCCAACATCCAACACATCCGTTACCTGCTGTGGTGTGGGATTATGACGGTCTAAAGTCGTCTGTTTTGCAATATTTGCATAATAGGCATAAGCCAGATCTGGGTCTTTGGGCAGACCATGCAGCCCCCGCTGATGGACATGACCGAGATGGAGAAGCGCCAGCCGATGGTCCCTCTGTGCAGCCAGCAGGGCAAGCAGCCAGGCCTGTGACCAACACAAAAACATGGGACTAAACTGAACATGTTGACCCCAGGTAGAGAGCAACAACCTCTGCTAGAATAGAAAAAAAATGAATAAAACACCTTAGTGGGGTTTTTGGGGACTCCCAGACCAGAGCTGTAGAGCACAGATGACATGTGCAGAGCGTGGTTATCAGCAAGGCAGCCAGCTTGGAGCAGCAGAGGTAAGACTTTGCTGACCGCTGCACTGCTGCCCATTTGACTCATCTTCTGAACAGAGAAGGAGTACAGAGCTCTTCCCACAGCAGATGGGCTGACTGCCGTTCCACCTGCAGGTGTTAGACAGCCCATCACTATCAATCACTGAATCAAGAGATCATCACAGCTCTCAAGCTGTCTAGTCAGAGAAATTTGCATTATGTAGTTCATTTACTACCTTGTTTAAAAACCAGTAACTTGGCTAGTTTTGTGGCCAGTTTTCTGTGAGCTGCTGCCTCCTCCCAAAGCTCACATTGGGGGTTTGAAGGATCCCTTCCCATCCGGTCATGGAAAACTGCCAAACAAGTCCCTGAAAGGGCCAAAATCAGTTAATGGTTTGGTGACTTCACAGGTTTTCTTCCACTGAGATTTTACCTCCATCTGGTGGCCAGAAAGACACATTACCACTTTTTCTCTGGTGTTTGGCTTGGATGGTGAAACCACTGATCTTGACGGTGATGTCAAAAAGAAATTCCTGGCAGCTCTGCAGCCATCCAGTCAGGTTTATGTTTTTTAGAACATCTGGAGCAGCTACTGCAGACTTTGGATGTAGAAAAATGAGGGGAAAGAGCTTAGATTTAAAATATTCACTGTTAAGTTAAAGCTACTGTATGACAATATAACTGAAAAGTTAACTTGTATCATTGAATCATGTCAGCAAGTGTAATTATGTAATTCTGTGTAGCGCTTTCAGTCATGAGCTTGATTGACAGCACTAAGACCCTCCTCCTCTTGAATCTGATTGGTTGTTTCTGACCGAAGAGGAAGAGCTTGATTTTTTTCACAGATCCTCTGACTCATATTATACTATCACAACACTTTTAACAAACATGTAAGAAACATTTTGTTTATGAGATGAATTTGTAAGAGCGTAACTACCAGGCTGTGAGGAACTTTGTTGCGGTAGAACACCACTGGTCCAAAATAACCCTCCAGGCCTCGGATGAATTTCCCTCCACCAATCACAAAATACCCCTCTGTGTCATCCAACATGGCAGAATGACTCAACCTGTGTATTAAAAAAAATAAAATGTTAAATATGAGCAAAATCACATAATAAATTTGTCATTAAATTATAAAGTAGACCTACAAGTACTCTGAAGATTTAACCATTCTTTCCTCGTTGTCCATAAACACCAAGGAAACGGTGACCTATAGAGACAATGGCAGCCTTAGTGCCATTGTTATCCTTATGCAAATATTGAAGAATCAGGTCACAGTGAGTTGGCACCACTTGTTTAAAGGCACGGTGAACGAGGAGAGAAACGCAGAGGATTCCTCAGACGCTCCACTTATCTGGATGTGCAGCCGGCCTGTCAGAATGCTGCTTCAAATTACTTCAATTAAAACTGTCTTTATTCATCTACCTGGAGCTTCCTTTCACAGAGACTAGTAATAAAAGATCTTTATGTGTTGAATTTCGAGCAAAATATTCCAAACACATTTCAAATTTTCAATCAAAAGAGCTGGACTAAAAACTAAGAAAAATGAAAAGTGTTTACAGATGATAAATATGAATTATTGGAAGGTTTTATCAGTACATTTATTGGGTGTAAATGGTTCCAAACTAGAACCATAACCATTATTTGTTTAAAATTCTGATTAAAGTGAATAATTCAAAATACTTTGAGGGAAGCGGCAAGACTTAAAAAAGAAAACTATATGAGACAAGGTGGAAAAAAATAATTTTGTTCCCATCAACCAAAAATCAATCAGAATCAACAATCCCTGGGAAATAGCAACAAAAATTCCAGATTTAATCAAAATATAAGAATTATGATAGTAAGATTAGATTTCAGAGTTCAAGGGAGCATGGTGAATTCATTCCAATCAATAAAATTGGAATGAATGATTTGGCATAAAAACTGAATTTTTGAAGATATTGTCATGAAGGGAATGTCCTTTAATTGGAGACATGTAGATATTTTAGCATAAAACCTGTTTTAAGCTTTTCAACACAAATTCTCCTGAAAAGCTTTAAATGGTGATTTGAAACATGTTCATGAGGAAGGGTGTGGTATCAGTAACGATGCCTCTCTTTCAACATCAAATTGTAGCTTTTTGAGAAAATATGAGAATGTAGAAAAGTTCTTGATACCTGATTTTGTTAGGAGAAGTGCCGGTGTGGCATAATTGTTATGGGAATCAATGTGATGAAACAATCCGCAAAATCTGTGCTTGCAATACTTGCTAACAAATACCCACAGAGAGAGTTCACACCTAGGAAAAAAACAATAAAAAAACAATACAGTGATCAGTGCAAAGGTAACCATAGTAACATTTCCGTACTTAACTGGGTGGCAAATGAAAGTGTCATACCAAGGAAAAGGGACGGCTTTGATGCGGAAGTGCTCCAGCAGCTGGTTCCTGTACGGGTCCAGGGTCTTTGTTATCCCAAAACTTTCTCCAGTTGAAGCATAGATCGCAGACAGAAGATGGACGGTTTCTAAGGGTAACAAGGAGTTCGAGTTGGACAAAAATTTGTTTTTATATGCAACAATATTAATTTGATTATTATTAATTCAGCTTTACATTATGTTATCTCCTCATCAGAAGCATGGATGGAGTACTGCTTTGATTCTTTTATGCATGTTTGAGAATGTGACGCCAACCTCCCACCTCACGGAGAAACCCTTTCTCACTCAGCTCCTCTAGACTAGCAGCAGTAGCAATTAGCTAACACTTGGTGGCGCTGCATGTCTGCTGGGTTCATCATGCAAACTACTTCTAAGTCCAACAGTCCTAATAGCGGTTGTAAACAACATGAGGAGCCATGTTGTGATGACTTCCAGTCAGAAAGAGCAGGAGTTTCTTAAAGAGACAGAGGCCCAATTTCAAAAGTGTTACATTGTGAAGTCAATTTCTTTTGCTGCTTATTACAAACATGGTCATGTTTGTTATATATGACTATGATAGTGCTATAAAATGCCACATAAATACTCCCCTTTGAATAAAAACGCTAACATCCAATATAGTTTCACTGGTCCACCCTTACCTTGCTCTAAAGGACACTTTTTCTGTAAAAACTGTTGAGTTAATTGTAACATCTGTTTACTCCACGCAGTGCAGAGACGATGCTGCTTGATAGGGCGACTGAAGAAGGGCTTGGGCAGCAAGAACGCCACATCCTGAGAACCCTTGGACCGTTTAGTATCATCAGAACCACTGTATCTGACACAGGCTCGGAGAAAACAACTCAGCACCCTGTGGGACTCCGGAACGATTCCGTCTGCTTGGTAAACCAACCAGTCTGGCAGATTCAGCTTCACGGTCTTTATTACAGGGTCACCGGGGTCACAACTCCACCGTCTGATACGGACTGTGGAGACTGAGCCAGTTTCAAATGACACGACACAGTCCAGCTGTACGGTAGCTGCCCCATCACAAGAGTAGAAAACGCTCAGGAGATGGTCAGGGAGAGCTTCCTCTGGAGGATTCAGGAGCTTCACCTGGTCCAGACCGCAAACAATCTGAAGAAAGACACACACACACACACACAGTTATACACCTGACAAAAGGGGAGAAGAGAGAGATGCTTGAGATAAACATGCTCCTACCTGCAGGCCGAGGAAAAACTGGCAGATGCATTTGTGCAGTGAATGAATGGCCATGTTTGACAGCGCCGGCAGTAACCTTCTGCTGCAGAGAAACTACAGAGCCGGATCTAATCCTGTTCCACATTGGCTGCTCTGAAACACAGGTAAATATTTAACAGCACACAGTTCCACCCAATTACTACCTGAACAGTGTGGGTGAGTGGGGAGGATTTGTTTCTGAACAAGATGCAGCTAAAGCTTCTCCACAGAGCCTACAAAAGTATTCACACCCCTTACATGTTTCCACATTTAGTTTACAGCTACAAGCCTTTTACATGACGGACCAGCGCTTGTGAACTGGAAGCAAATTACATTTGAAATATTTTACAAGTCAAGACCTGATAACTGATCTGGATCCAGACAGATGTTTCATTCATATCTCCTGGAAAGACTTGGATTGGTTTCTTGCTTTTAATATCTGATCAAATGAATCCAGTTGTTTCAACCTCTGCGCCACAATCCGTTTATTTGTTCATTTCTATTTTGGTTGTCAACATACTTCACTATGGCATCTGCTTTTTCTTGTCATGTGTTGGTTTTGTTTATTATTACAATCCCTTTCCGTTTGTTGTTGTGCATTGTGTGAAAAAAAATAATTTGCCTGTAAACATGACAAACATAATATATGATTTTTATAAGTGACTGCATGTTTGAAATGTAATTTGCTCAAGTTTTCTACAAGTTGAAACGGTAATTCCTAATTAAAGGAGTGATGGTATTTTTTAGGCATAAGGTCTAAAAAATACTGAAGGTGTATGTATATGTTTGTCTGATATATACACCTTGAAATTATCAAATATAACCTAAAAGAAAGTTGACTTCACAATTTGACACCTTGAAAGTGGCCTCTGTCTCTTTAAAAAGACAGTCTGCCTTCAACACATTAGGCTGTTTACAATGGTTTTTAAGTTGTTTATTTCTAAAGAAAAATGGAAAAAAAAAAATCTGAGTTCAGATTACAAACGAGTAAAACCCAGTTTATTTTCATTCAAAATAGTTTATTGCTATCATGCAAGAGTGCCATCAAAGTCTAGACCACCACAGATGCAAAATTATTATTTTTCTCTGTACAAATATACTGGATGTATTCATAAATATAAGCTCAAAAATGAGAAGAAAAGTGGGTAGCAAAGTTAGAGTTGAAGCTGATCCATTCTTTTAACCCAATATAGGTTTTGTTATGGTAGTTGACATGCATCAACATTACAGTGCAATATACTGGGAGGAGACAGACACCTGGACACGCACCTGCGCGCACTCAGAGGGCATTTTCAATTTACAGCCATCGTGCAGAGAAAAAAAAACCCAAAATAAAAATAAACAGAACAAAAAGGAGAAAGGTAGAAAAGACACTAAGAAGTACCAGTTAGAATGTTTTTAATCTGGTCTCTTAAATAAGTAATTGAAACATGTCTTCTGCATCCAAACCACTGGTTACATTATGATGCCGAGGCGGGGAGAGACCAACTGTCTTCTGCAGCACTTTTTGGTTGATCATTTAAGAGGAGCGCCCTAAAAATGCCCGGCGCCCTCACTAAGTCAGAAATCAACTACAACTACTGATGCATAGCTCTGTGCTTAAAACCAAGCGACTTGCATTAAAAACTGGCACAACATTCTGTCTTGTAAATAATCTGAGAATTGAACTCATCTGTAACAAATGTAAACATGTTGTACCTGTGGTACTGTTACAGTAACGATACCCTGGGACATTCAGCATCTAAACTCGCGACGTGCGGGCACGCCGCACATCGACGAGCTCTGGATTCTGGGTAAAAGGGGCTGAAGGGATCGAACACAACACAAATACGAAGGCCTCTGACGAAATCAGAGATTTGGCACTTTTACACAATTTGCCTTGTAGTTTTTTTTTAATAAAAAGTCATCTTAAATGTAACTTTTTTTTTTCTTCAGCTAAGCAAATATATATCCTTGTAACGGTAGCCCTTACCAACAACTATTACTACTTACTTTCTTGTTACATTGAACTAAAGTGGAAAAAAGGGGGACCAGTAAGACAGAAAAGAGCAGAATTAGTTAAAAGTTTTGCCTTTGTAACAGAACTTATCAAAAATGTGAGATCTGATCTAATCACCTTCATTCGTCTGTTACACAGCAGAGGCAAATCAGTCCAGAAAATTCATCCACGCACTGCTGTATTTCAACTGGATCTTCAATTGTTTTTTGGGGGGTATTTAATGACTATGTATCATAGCTGATGAAAACCCAAAATCCATCTCCTTAACGAATTTGACTAACAGTATTTTTTATAGCACAACAAATGCTATGGCCAAAAACCTCACAAGGTCAGTTGTGTAGGAAACGTTTGTAACAAAGTACCGTTACTTACAAAAGCTGGCTGTTCAGAGTGTGATATCCAAGCATGTCAACTAGTGGTGGGGCTCCATTCAAATTTTCAATAGTTAATTGTAGAGTCTGTAATTAATTAGTTCTTGTAGCTATTGAATAAATAAATAGATGGATCAATAACAATTGTTTCTAATGTAAACTGGTGCAAAGTGTTGTTCTGCTTTCCAGCGTTTCATTCATGGAACTTCTTTATAGAAGTGGACTGTGATCTTTGACGTTCATACTGGTGACATCTGTGCTGCTGCTACATGTGTAGCACTGAGATGCCATTTTTGAACAACTTCACTGTTAGGGTAACAACAATGGTCTCTTCTCATTCCATCATATTGTTTTATTGAAGCAAATGTTAGCCCAGAGTGAGCCAAAAGAAGGGGCTTCGTCGTCTATTGCTGACTGCAGATGTCGGCTGTGCGTCAGATTTACGGACGTAGCAGAAACACACGAACACGAAGGTTCTCCTTGTATGTAAAAAGATGAATTGCATTAAAGTTTTTAAACATCCTAAAATGGATGTGATTGATTTATCTAAATGAATGCTTCAAAGTCCTGACTGTAACAAATGGAAAGAAAATGTCAGAAAAAAGGCTCACTAGTAAGAGGTAACTACTAGTAACTAGTAGTTATTAGAGATAATTACTAGTTACTAACAGATTGTGAAGCTAAGACTACTTCCATACATAACCAGGACCCAAGTTGCAACCAGTGCATTTCTTGCATTACGCAATTCCTGAACCAGATGCAAAGGGTTTAAGCTTGAAGTAAATTGTTTATGCATCACTCGGTGCCACATTTTTCCTTTCACTTAACCTTCCACTGCCAGGCTTTGATAAAGCACTGAGAGCAGCCAGCAATTAGCTTTTGAGACTCCATCCTACATTTGGGTGGCATCAATGACAGAATGGTGGGGAAAAAAAAAAAAGGATCTTATATCCTTTTATTGTGTTGGCCATGATGTAACATTTCCATTTTCAAACTGACTACATGTAATGTAATGTAAACATTATGATCTCAAATACAGAATTGAGGATTTTCCATTAGCTGGAAACAATGACACTGAAATTAAGTGTTCAAAATGATCCCTGTTAGTTCTTTTGAGCTTCACCTCTCAAACTAAATGTTTTGGATTTACTTTTCAATGCTAATTTAATTTAAATGAGACGCATAAGTAGGTTTCAATTAATTGAAAACTTTTTTTTTTAATCTTTGTTTTTTGTTTAATATAGCTGGACTTTAAAGCAAGAAAAATAACAAGCATCCAGCACGTTCCCCATTTTGTACAGAGTGAACAAGTATTTAACATTAAAAAAGAAATGCCCTTACCCTAAAATGTGATTGTCGTTTTGTAACATTAGCAGATGTGAATTCCATCCACAAGTCTTTATTGTTACACTTTGTCTAAATAGTAACATTTTGGTGTAGCCAAACCTCTAACTACCACTTCTGCTATTGTGTATTTAGTTCCCCGAAATGTATATATTCATCCTTCTAGACAACAAATAACAGAAAAATCAGTACTTGCCAGTTGAAAACAAAAAAAAAAAGGAGGAACAAAACACAAGAAACAGTGTGCATTCATTTGAATTCGTAGGCTAGACAGCTAGGTAGTAATCAAAGTAACATCAAGTTTTTTCTATGCTGGATAACAACACGAACCGAGCAAACACTAAGAGCATATCAGTCAAACAAAAGTGAAGACATGCAAAATGTCTAATTGTAGAACGAGGAAATAAAATAAAATAAAATAAAAAAAATCCAGAGGGAGAAACGCTTCCCTTTCAGACCAGCACAACTTCCTGCAGGAATAAATAATACTACACATTCCACTGTACAGACCTGCCCCGCCGCGCTCCGCTTCAAGCGCTGGACCGTCGAGCAGAGGAGGCCAGACGGTGGGTTGCTCCCACAGTCCAACGCAGGCGTCGGAACCTACAGGTAAAACGCATCGTGCCATCTTTTTGACCGTAATTAAACTCATGACATTACAAAAAGAAGAAGAAGAAAAAAAGACAAATAGAGGAATACAGTCAAGCAGCTTTGATAGCCTTTTTGGTTCACGTTGCTCATTTCTTCTGTTTCTTGAAGATTTTGAAGGGGTGTTTCTTGCGGATGACGGCGGAATCTGTATCTTCTCCTGTAGAGCAGCTGTCCTCCTCCAGAGGACTCTTCTTGGAGGACAGCTGCGGGATGCGACTGCTGCCCTTCCCCCCCGGTGCCATCGCTCCCGCCTGGCCACCTGTCGGAGACGGCGTATCCGGCTCGGTCGAGTTGGGGCTGAAAGACCGGGAAGACTCGGAGAAGTTGTTGATCTCTCCCAGGCTGGGCGACTTCTCCATGTGGTGGATCTCCTTCATGAGGATGGGGCTTCCGGAGACGTTCTCCACAGCGCCACCGTCGTAAATCCGGTTCCCTCCATTAGAGTGCAGGGAGACGGTGTCGTCCGCCCGGCTGGAGAGGCCGTACATCAGAGAGGTGGGCTTGATCAGATGGCTTTTTGAGCCGTAGGCCGAGAGCCGATCGCCGACTTGTGAGAGGGACAATGAGGAGTCAGAGTCGGAGCGGTTCAAGTCCCTACAGGGGGAGCCAAGCGTAAAATAAGAAAATTAGATGGGGTTGGGGGGATTGGAATAAGCATAGATTTTATAATTATGCATGTATTCCAAATAGGGCTGGGCGAAATGGCTTAGAAATAAACTCTTTATTTAGAGATGCACAGACAAATTGGCCTTGA